AAAAAAAAAAAAAAAAAAAAAAAAACGCAGAATGGGAACATTATTCAAACAGAAAAAAGCGACAAAAAAATAACACGAAATCTCGACACTCCAGCTTCTGCAGAATCACCTCACCAGCCTAACAAAGCCCGGTCCGCTCCTTATCGCTCCACAAAAGTGCGAAGCTATCCCAAAATTTATTTTCAAGCCACAGGGTCATAGACTTCCTTGCCTGAGCTGAAACAATAGATTACCTGAAGTTTGGGTAATCTAACCGCTCAGTGATTCTGCGGCAGAGGAATAAAATTATTTTGCGCACAACTGCAAATGGGTTTCAATGCCGTCTTCAATGCTGGTTTCGTTCCGTCTGTACGTATTTTTCTGCAATTAACGACCATTGTGAAACTTTTCTGATGTAAACAATGAGGCAAAATTGTTTGAGACTAAACCTAAATGCGGAAAGAAAACTCAAAGTTTAGGTGGATTTCACTGTTGTTCAGTTACCTTGTCTGTTTGTCCCCCAACTGTTCCCCTTAAATTTACTCCTCCTTTTCCGCTATAAATTTTCCTGTCTATCTCTATTGTCGTCATTCTACTTTCCTGGCTTTCTTTCTGCTCATCCGAGTATTTCCCTGGTCCTATGGCTGTCGATTAAAAAATTGTTTCTCATATTAATTACCTTTCACCTTCTGCTTTTAATTTTTTTACAACTCTGTTTATTTTTTCTTTGTCTTTTTTCCGACGCTTACTGCTTTTCGTTGTTTCTGTCTTTGTTTTTGGTTTTATTTTGTGTGTTTTGCTTTATTTTCATATTGTTCTCATTTTTGTAATTAATTTGATTTCTTTTTCATTTTTATTCTTTTACCGAGATTTGCATCCTACGTCACCTTAAAAACGGCAAAAACCTTTTTTGGTTGCTATGCTGTGTATCTGGGGTACAGTATGGAATTTTAGAAGTAAACTGTTTAATGAATTTCAAGTTCCGACTAACCAGATAAACAAGCAAGCTTCTTTATAGGATCAATAGCTGCACTCAGATTTTGCTGCTTGTTTCCGTTGAATCGTTTGGATTGCTATGCTGGCCCAGTACAATATGCTCTGAGTGTAATTCTACACCATAAATCTTTGCATGACGTCTAAATTCTCATCACGGTCATCTAAATAAATCTTTGGATTTTTCGAGTATTTTCTGAGAAAATATTACTTTTTTGTTATTTTTTCAAATCATTAAAAATTTGAAGACTAATATTCTGCAAAGTTTCAGCTCATCAGTTCTACAGTGTCGTGTTTCTAATTTGCACACATCTTTAACAGATGCAACTCATACCCTATCTGGATTCGCCCATTCCTTGCTGGTCTTTCGCTCCTCACGTTTAAGGTTGCTTTTATACCCATCTGCGGCTCCCCAGACAAGATTTGAAGAACTTTTATTCATTTTGCTTTCATAAAGCGACAAAAAGTTCAAGTGCGTCCCGTCATTCAATAACTGATATTCTAATTTAAATGGAAATAACTTAGCTATGAATTCCATCTTCTTAGCCATAGAAATAAAAATTTAAATTGGTGGTTCCAAATCCTTCTCTTTGTTCCACCTACTGGTGATCTCTTTAGCAAATTAAGTCGCCAGTTGACTGTTGATTTCCATAGTTTCGTCGAAGATCCTGGTGTAGAAGTATGCAGATATGATGACAGAATCACTCAAGAAGTGCTGCTCCTAATAACCAAAGAGTAAACACTTTTTAATATCGGAAGCGTTAGTTTGATTCTTTATTAATTTGACCCTGCAGTTAAAAGTTCGGTTATTTCATTATTCAGGAGATTGGTTTATTTTGTGGAGGAGGGGAGATGGAAGAGAATCTCAGGAAACTACCGTTGGAAATAGTATTTTAAAGAAGTATTTTTCTGAAACTAAAGGCATATTTGACAATTCGCTGCCGGTAGCCCTTTGTCCAAACCAAATCGCTCAATACAGCATTAGTATACACTTAGTGCTTTCTACTACCCCGCCAGTGGTTGCCTAAATTTTTTGATATTTGTTGCGAATCATAATCTTAGAAAATACTTCTGTTCCTCATTTTAAAATTTCAATCCTATTGAAGAGCAGTGAATAAGCAACTTGTGAAAAGATGTTAGCTGCTACTGTTTTACGCATTTTTTTAAGTACTATATAACGGAAATTATTGGCGGCTCTGCAAGGTTCTCAAGGACTAATTTGTCTCATGTACTTCGAAGATAGTCTTACGTGGCCCTCTTCAGAGGTAATCTCACTGCAAAAACAGATACCTCATACATTAGAGAATCTTTTTACCTTTGTCTCTTGTAACGTTGTTACCATAGAGTAAATGGAAGTGAAGTCGAAGTTATCTTGTGCTCAGGGTTACCAGGCGAGCTCACTGTTTTCTCTAACTGCACCTCAACATTCCAATCCAGCTGACATTTTCAAGAGGGTTCTGTGGGCAACCTGAGTAGCACTGCTAAGACAACTGACCATTTACGGGGACTCTAGCTAAACTGAGTAAAGCTCCCGCAGCCAATACCGTGACAGACTGAAATCCTTCAATATGTGATAAACCAGATTTGTTTGCATTTCACGAGAGGATTAGTACGAGAGTACGGGAAGATTCAGAAAGGAAAGTGAAAACTAATTAAATTTCTGTTTTTTTTTTTATCTCAGTGATCTAGTTGGCGGCGTAGAAGAGTTTGTTTACAGCGAATTAAGGGCATAATTGGCATGACCATTGAACACGTGCATGAGTCATCTTAACACGTTGAGCAAATTGTCTTTTAAAAATAAGGTCAAATGCTAAAGAGGTTACGACGGTTACCTCCGCTGATTCAGAATTGAAGTGGGACTTAGAAGAAAGATTCCACGTCCAAGCCGCTGATTATCCGAGAGCTGGACATTGGGAAAAAAGAATGGAGAAACAAAGATAAGAGTGCTGAACGTCACGGCTTAGCAGCTTCATAGCAGGTTAACTTGAGAATGCTGAAAGGCCAAGAGAGTAAAGGAGCGCTTCTTATATTAAATTCTGTGTTGAAGCTAGAGTGGTCTGCATTTAAATGTACAATTTTCAGTGTGGGGTTAAGAATAGAATTTTAAACGCGTTTTTTTCTAAAGCTAAGTGCGAAATATTTGACAAGTTCAACGAACTTTTATTTGCACGTTTTTTTTTTTTGTCCTCATTCCTGTACAAGGTTCTCACTGTTTCTCAAATTTCAGCAGATAAACGAAGTAGAGTCAAAAATTTCTCATACAAAAAGTGGCTGGAAATATGGATACAAAACTGACAATTTGTGGCGGATAAAGTGGAACAAGATAGCTCTTAGAACTGATATTTGTACTGTTTCAATGGTTTTTCTGCTGCTCAATGTTGTTAATACCACAGAAGTCTGAAGACTGTTTCATCACTATGAAAATTTATCAAAAGAAAAATTCTAATTTCTGTCTCCACTCTATTTAACTGTTAAAACTTTAAAAACCTACGCGACTTTAACTTAATTTTTGCCTGTAAAGTTTAAACTCACTCATGTGTAGCTTCCTCATGCACTAAAACAAAACCGGACGTGATTTACTGAGAAAACAAACAAATCGTGACACACTTTAACTATGAGGTTGAAAAGAAGTACTGAACAGACACGCAGATTTTCCTGAAGATAAATGGAAGTACGATAAAAACTTCGTATAGGAAAACGATAGACAAAAAAAGTGCCCGCAAATAACCCCCCTTGGACCTGTCAAATATTTTACACTGGGGATTATTAAAAATCCTGTTTGAACCTCTGTAAAGGTCTAACACCAAAAGGTGCGCATTTGAATGCCGACAGTCTGGCACCACTTTTTAACTGAGATAGTATCCATAACCCACAAAAGAACTTCAAAGAAGGATTAATGGCAGAGTTCCTAAGCTGAGACAGCACCTACAAAAGAAATATTTGGTATATAATAAAACCTTGGCGTATTAGAAAACGGTGAGTGAGGATAACCGTAATGCTCCTTCGCGAAAACCTTGCTTCTAGAATTTGAGGGTTTACGCGGATCACTGTCTCAAAATAAAGCCTACGTCCTATCACAAAAGGTATCTTCATCTCAAAATCATCTAGCTTCGCAACAACAATACTTTAACCATTAAGGTCGCATACCAACTTCCTGTTACTGTTGAACAGTTTCAAAATTCCCTCCCTCAGAGGCTTTAACGCCGAAAACCCTTTGGAATTTTTCAGGCCATCTGAACCTTGCACTCTCTTCTGCTACACTACCTCTTCAGATAAGTTTTACAGTTTTAGCATCCTCGACTTATCTTTTTAACAGCCTCGTTACGCAACAAATCAGGGTCATCCAGCGCTCACCTATGCTCTGTGAAATAGTATTTTTTACGTATCAAGCCTGTCCGGAACGTCAAGTGTGCAAGGCAGTTCAACACTCCCTAAAACACTGCTTGTTTCTTAGTAATGTTACCGATGGTTGTTTTCCAACCCAACTTTCCAGCCATGTAAATTCGAATGATTCTTCTAGGCTGTTTCCAATGGTTCGATTCTTACAGAATTCCATAAAGCCAACCTTACACCTCAAAGCTAATGTGCTCGGGCAATTAACGGCGACATACACAGCAACGACATCCCACTACTTTGGCGTCAACACCATAACAAAATTCGGCTCATTCGTTCTTGTAGAAACCGTCCGTTCAACGCTGCAAGACTTGAAACCAGTAGCCTAACATCCGACAAGGTTCCAATCGCAACTGTCCACGGCCACCCACCTAAAGTACGCTAGGACTGTGCTTTCAAAGTCTGACGCCGCACCTCCAAACGCAACTTCCGCACAAATTTCTTTTTTTACGCACGAGACACCATTCTGAAGACTTTCGCCAAACCTCACTTTTGGCCCTACTTTTCCTTTCGAGTGACCCAGG